AAAGTAATTGGATCATGTTGGTGATGAAAATTAATTATCCAGTTTGGGCTGACACCAATACATGACGCGTATAGGTGAGGGGTGATGCAGGAGCAGAGTAGAGTTCACCTGCTAGTTGAGGAGAAGGCTCCCGCTGTTCCACAGTTCTTTGGCATTGAAATGCTACGGGAAGCCGATGCATCGCCCCACAGAAGCAGAATTAAACAGAGCCGAACCAATTTCACTTGGATAATTGTCCTGTGTTGATTTTTTTTGTTGAACGGGCGTTTCAACAAATTCAATTAATAACAAGCCCCAATTGCAAAATTCCCTTCAAAAGGGTCCGAAATCCTAGTCAACTCCTTTGAGCTCCTTCATGCGTGCTCACTCCCAGAGCTTGCATTGCGGTTCCTTCATCCCAGTGCTCCGCTGTGCACTTCTCCCAGAGGCCACCCGGTGCCGGAAGTGCAACATCATCCGACCAGAACGGGCGCATCATTGCCATTTCTGCCGGAGATGTGTGTTGAGCTGCGGCTGCACTCACAAATCTCCATGAAACATGGGCCAGGAAACCAAATACTTGGTCATGGAATCACGGAATCTCGGGATTAGGGTTTTCTAAAGCACCTTGCAGAAGGGGTCATGCTATGGTTGCGTTTTTTTTCTGTACGCCCTTTGGTTCGCCTAATCCATTCGCCTTTGGGCCAAGGAGAATGGATCACCATTGCCCTTGGATGAACAATTGTGCCCCGATGCAGCACCAGGTCCAGGTGACGGGCGCTGGGTGGGATTGGTGTACCCAAACCCAAACGGATGGCCGGCAAATGGAATTTGTTGGTCTGCGGCCGTGCATCGGCCGTGCATATCCCGTCCGCATCACGAAAGAGGCCGTGCATCCTTTGATGTTGAGATGTGTTCTGTTCGATTTTGCAAGCAACCTTGTGACCTTGTGATCCTTGAATCTTGAGCTTCCTTGCAGCATGACCCCCACCAAACACTGCTTGAGTATGTATGCAAAATATGATGGTATGGTAGGGTATGGTATGGTATGGCATGTATGCTGTCAATGGTCGTCGGTTGTTTCAGGGTGGGCTTATGGGGGTGTTAAAGTTTGGTCGAGTCGAGACATGTTAAAGCTTTAAGTCCATTAGATGGATGATTTGTTCAGGCTGTTGGGTGCTTTCGGGCTTTTGGGTGATGATTTTCATGACGAAGGTTTGGTCGTAATCGCTGCGTTCGGTACTTCCACAGCTTATCAGCACAGCAGTAAAGTAGTCGTTGAATTTCGCACCGCTGGGGGGCTGACAATGACAATCATTTTGACATTGTACCAGCTGCAGCTTGGCATGATGGCAATAGGTTTTCGTGGTCTCAAGTGCCAACGACTACACAATTATATGTCCAGTTTGTTCTGCTTGTGCAGAGCTAAACCCATTTTCACAAATATGCAAGGTGACTTTGTTGGGAGAAGGCAGCAGGTGTCAATGCAATTATACCAAGGACGCATTTTAGCACCACACTCACTGGAGACAGTTAAACAGTGTCTCAATTCATTCAGCTCACCAGTCGGGTTTCTTAAGCCGAAGATTATGTTGCACATGGATGTAAATGGCAGGGGCCTTCCACGAATGTCCAATATGATGCTTCATAAGTGCATTTATGTTTTATGTTTGGCGAGAAGCTTTGATCTAGTCGCGTCAGCTTTTTGCAAGATTGCATAGACAAGCAATCGGAGCCAAGAAAGTGGGTCAGGGTGATGGCAATTGGAAACCAAGATTGAAACATTGCGTTAATAAGAAGTGCAAACAAAAACTGAACAGCTCGACGAAATCAATCAAAATGGGCGTCAAAAGTCGAAGTGAAACAGACACCAGGTCACGCACCTCATGGGTGTGTTCGGTGCATGAAGCCAGGTTGAAAGACTTAGGCACACGCCTTGGCATCCTTGTTTAGCATGCTGAGCGTACTGAACGACTGCATGCTACTATATGGTGCAATCCAACTATATAGACAAGGTTGCATCTTAGACAAGGTAGCATCGTAAGGGAACATTGAGTCGCCGGGACTAAACCTCACGCCTGACCACTAGATTTTGGGAGCAAGGGGTTGGTTGAGTGCTGGACATTAATATTATTAGCAACCAATGTCAACCTCGTCCACGCATAGTGATAAAAACCAAGCTGTGAGGTGAGAAGACACCCAGGTGTATGAGCAACATGTGTCTCATGTGTCTGAGCGTCAGGCCTGAAGTGCACCACTACAAACCGCAAAAACCTTGAATAGCCTTATGAAGAAAGGTTCAAAAAGAAACCGCAAAGGAGTGGCTCAGCACTAGATGGAATGGTCGTATGTTGTGCATTGGTCTATGCCCCAGCGCTATGCCATTGCACACCATCAAACATCATGAACACATAGAACCCCAAGACGGGTGTAGGAAGCTACTAGGAACAAGTGCATCGCTACTAGTAACAAGTGCCTTACTATATAGTAGTAACTAGAAGCTATTAGAAACAAGAATTAACTAGAAACTAAGCCCCTCCTCTGAGACGGTCCTTCCATTACAGTGGAGTCGCATGCGGTCGCATGCGCAATGCGACGAGACCCAGGTGTTGGAGTCTTCAACCACAAGTACTTTACGCTCATTGGCACTTGGGCTGAAAAGCACTTGGCCTCGGCCTTGGTGTTTCTTTCTGTTAGGCCATGCGAAATGCATGCCGGAAAGCATCGGAGACTCTGTTGCTGAGGAGTGGTGGAGACGACTTGGCAAACCTTTGCTGAAAGAAATGTTATGTATGCAGTATGCACGTGCAAATGCAATGTGCGCCGTGAAGAAGGTTTTCTCAACAATTCCCTTTGACACTGTCTCATCAAAGAAGCCGCCATACAAGTGTCGAAAGCAACCAGGTTTCGTGGGATCGCCTGGATATATCCACCACATCATCTCACGATTGAGGAACCATGAGGAAACTATTGCCAAAGATGCTGCACCGTCAAAACAACGCTGTTCTGGACCCTTTTTCACCAAGATTAAAAACACTTAAGGAAGTCCTAAGAGCTCATCGAGAGTGAAGGGCTGTAACCCACATTGGAGCCACAGGCTGGGACATTGCTCGTGGTTCTCATTCTGTGCGTTTCTTCTACTCTTTGCATCTTACATTATGTTGGACACAGCACCAGGAAAATATGGGTTTAAAACCTCGAGTTCACTTTGGGCTAGAATCAAAGGACACCTCATAAATGTAGGCGCAGAAATATAAATCATCCAATAATACAAAATCAGGCTCTTCAACACCAATTGCATATTGGCAATTGCCGTGGCACGCACTTTGTCTTAAGGGATGTCGAGCAACACCTACAGATTTTCGTGTTGACAAGGAAATGTTCTGAAGGCACCAAGAACTAAATGCCATTTTGGAAGCATTGCTTGTAAAATTGGTAGGGGTCAATCCAAGCAAGAGCATGAACATAAGGTTGCTGCATGCCTGGCACCTGAGGTATTTATGCCGGCCTTGTAGCATGGCTGAGCGGATGCCTTCGTGCGTGGGTGATCTTGCATGTTGAAAAAAATCATCAAGTGGACAGATTTGCACCCATGTTAAGTTTGGAAAATGGATTGTTGTCACACTGCTTCGTAAGTGTACGCAAAATAATGTTTCAATATGCTGGTGATGCCGGTCTTTCCTTTATGCACTACTGGCATCATCTTAAGTATTCTGTGATTTCATAATTTAATGAATCAATGTTGTTTTGCTTTGATGCTGACGAATCCAAGGCCGCTTTCATCGCCCTGGTTACCACCTTCCCTGACCTCCTCCATTGCCTAACCTCAGCCTGGCTCCCGGGCCTTCACATCAACAATTGGCATCGCTACTGGTAGCAGGGACGCTATTAGGTGGACGCCATCGCACGCTACTAGGATCTGAAGGATCAGATTTCAAAGTCCCGCCTTCGCTCAGGCCGTTAGCATGGATGAGAGCCTCTCCATGGGACCTGTCTTCACACGGCACCGCGGTCGGGGGCCACAGTTGTCTCGCTTCTGGCATGAGAGCTCGCTCGTTGCCGCGCTTGGTGTCGTGTTTGCGTTTCTTCCATCCACCCAGGCTACATATCTGCACGCGGTACCCTGCAAGTATCTTGGATTGACATGGACTACAGCTTTGAAGAAGGTCAGTCAACTAAAATCGACGTCCATAATATGTTTAGAAATGTTTAGAATACATATTAACTTGTCATTTCTTCATATTTCTTGTATTCTACTGGTGGGTCGGTATACCAGGGAGTCGGTAGGTCCGGTAGGTGAATGCTTCACATTTGCCTTTGTCCCATCGACAGAGCCCAGGATGCGACCCTCACGGTGGAGGAGGCCAAACAGAGATGTTCTGAGCTGCAGGACCCTCAGTGCGGCTGGCGTATGAGATCCAAGCCATGAAAAGAAGTCAAACACGTTGGTACATGTTGAAAACACACGTGCGTCCGCCAATCGCCTGCAGTGGCTCAACGCCTTTTTTTTGTTTTGTTTTGTTTAGCGTCCTGGTTGGCCACTCGGGTAGCGGCAACTGGACATGGCCACCCCGTGCCGTGTGGAAGAATGGTTTCAGCAGGTGCCACACCTGATTTGGGAAGAAGGCGCAGCGTGGGGCGCATGCGCGTAAGTCACCGTTAGTCAAATCCAGGAGCAGACTTTAAAAAACACGAGAATTCCTCAGACTTCCCAGATGGTTGAGGGGCTGGTGGCTCAAGGAAACCCTGATTTCATTGCCGACCATTCCAATTCAATCGTAGGAGATACTTCTGTCAATCAATCGACCATCCATCCATGCATCCATCCATTTTCCATTCCATTCCATCCCATCCCATCCCATCCCATCCCATCCATCTACCTATCTATCCATCTGTCTATAATCTCTCTCTCTCTCTCTCCCTCTCCCTCTAGACTAACTCCAGGTAACAGTTTCCGGATTTCGCACCAGCAGTGCTAGGCGTATCTTTCACCTGTTCTCTCGCCAGGTTGGGAGCCTCTCATGGATTCCTCCCGAAGCAGTCTTTGGCGCTGTGACTGTCCCTGGGGCGGCGAACTCTTGCGGATCCGGGTGGAGGTCTACGTGGCGCCTCAGTCGAAAAGCGCAGCCCTTGCTGGGATGGGATCGGACCCCCCACAAAGGATTGACATCATTCTGCATGAGCTTGCGCTATGTGTGGAGGATGTTTTCAATGTGTGTTTAATGGATTGATGCTGATTTGGCTTGCTCCAAGACAGCGGACACTACAGTAAGTGCATGTTGTTTTTGTGTGTGTGGGGGGGTGGGAAGTCTGAGCAAGAGAACAGGTTTCTGTTCATGTTGACTGCCTGGGTCAAGACCAGGATGGGAAGCCTTTAGAAAATAAGCTGGGAGGGCTAGCATGGAGAGAGGTGGGACCGATGAACTAGGCCTAGGCGCCATTAGGCGCCTTCTTTGAGACGGTCTCCGATCAAAGTGGTCTCGCCCAGCCAGTAGAAGCTTCATTGGAAGAACTTAAGGGCGGGGGAGTCACATTGCGAAGATACCGGCAATGGATCCCATAGTCTCCTATGACCTCCAATGCATGCCGCAAGGCCAACCGATTCAAAACTCAGGCATTCTGAGGCGGAATCTATTCTCTAAGAGTCGCACCAAGATCTCCCTTGTCATGTTGAGATCCATTCGCTAATAATCAGCCCTTCATTGTGCACTAGTCTCGTCAAGGATAACGTTCCAGAGAACTTCTCATACTTGCTGGTGCGACCAGAGATTCGTGCCTGGTTCGGGCGCGGCAACTACCAGCTGGATGAGCCTTGGCCAACAAGAAGCCAAAAGAGTCAGACATGCATTCAAGGGCAGGAAAAGTGTCCAACCTGTTGCATCCCTTTGATTCGAGCACAGGTTCGACGTGTTTGATTGTCAGGACGCAACTAGCACAGATAAGACGGCTCCCAAACTATTGATTGACAACCTCCCACACCACCCCAGAATCAGCAAGCGCTAGAGCCGCTAGCGACCCCGAGGACCTGCAGATGTTGAAACACCAAGCTCCCGGCGAGGCTCCGGTGCCGTTGATGGGTGACAGAATGGCATCTATGGATTGCCTGGGGGGTAGGGGGAGCCAGAAAAATACCATGTAGACAAGTGTGCGCAATATATAAGAAGCTACTAGGGGCTCCTGGCATCGCTACTAGAAGCAAGGACGCTACTACGGGCTCCTGGCCGTACTACTAGGAGCAAGTAGTAGCTACTAGTAACAAGAGCCTTGAAAGAAGTAGAGACCGGACCTTCAAGAGAAATAACGTCGCAACAGTCGGCCGGCATGATGAATATAAGTGGTACACATGTACTTCAGCTCGCTTCAGCTTCTCCCGCCCACCACCCCCCAAAGGTAAACAGACATCGCGCATTCAATAACCTAGGCAAGTGCAAACTGGACCACCACATCTCCCTTTTCACCACCTGACCGTCACTTCCGCCTGACCGACGCGGCCGTCGTCAGGCGCAGCTGCAGCAGTTTCATTCCTGGGGCCTTGGCTCCTTTTGCAGTTCGTTCCTCGAAGCTTCGGATGATGTGAGCATGAGGCAGCAGAGCAGCTGGCGGATTTCCTGGCAACGGACCGTATTTTTTTTTCTCCAAGGGATTTGGGTTGAAGATCTGGGGTGTTCTTGGGGATGGCAGCTGGATATTGATGGTAGGGACGCCCCCCTGAGCAAGAGCACCCATCCAGCCAGCTTGTCCATTGAGACGTGTGAGACGTTGTTTTGATTGGATTTGCTGATATTTGCTGTCAATCCCTTGATAGACTTCCTTGGTCCAAGGACGGGTCAATCAAAACGGCCCGCCTGGCCAGCTGTGCCACCCTAGCTGCAGACACCACAGACGTCCAGGATCTCCAGGGACTTCCCCGCCGAGGGCGATTGCTCCCTGAGCTTCTCGGGGGAGTCTTCGGGACTCCTCCTTTGCCGTCCTTCCTCGCAGAGAGCCGGCAATTCTCGCTACGAACTCTATGGTTTCCTGGCGGATGCCAACTCGTGTGTTTTCTCTGTTTGTCTTCCCAACAAAACGTGTTTGCAAATACGTATCAGAAACAACTACCCGCCATGTCTAGTAGCAGACTTTTCTCTTTGATCTAGTAGGGGGGTATACGGTATGCGGTGTTCAGGTTTCTACTTTTTGGCGAGAGGAGGACCCACACTCTTTTGCTGGCTTATTTTGGAAGGCATGCACTTCTGAAATGAAATGAACCAGTCTGTTTGGCCAATTCTCCGAGAAAGGCTTCTTCCACGTGTCCCAGGAACAATACGAGCCTTGGCCTTTTGAAGCGTTTTTTTCTCGAAGTTTCATTGCAGGCGGAAGCACCTAAGCTCGTCGGCTCACAGAACCAAGCCCAAAACGCCCGATCACGTTCATCACTTTCAAGTGCCAACTCATCGCCAGTCCACCAGATCCTATAATACAATATATTGTAATAATAAGTGATGTAGTAACTGAAGTGTGTTGACTGACCAGCTGAGCGGGCGAAACATGGTGAAACCATAACTGAAGCCCAGGACTCCTGGTCTTCCCTCCACCTGCGGCTCTTGTTGGACTCTGCCACTCGTACCGCCCAGTGGTTTGTGAACCGTCCTGGCATCGATGAACTCAGGGCGCTCGACAAGGCTGGTTCAGTGGGAGGTTCTGGTGAGAGTGTTTGTTTGGAGTCCTGATCCTTAATTCTGTAGTGGATCCATTGGTCCGCCGTCCGCCCTTTTCCGGCTCGATGCATCGCACTTGGTGGGGAAGGCTTAGTTTGTCCGTCGTCAGTTCCGTCGTCATACGCATCATCCAATCTTCATGTAGTGGAAGACCCTTCTTGTATTGGATATGATATGCTCCTCTTATAGATTCTTATATCCTATTTTAATAAGATCCTAGTTCTAGCACAACATTTTAGTACTGTGCAGACTATCCATTATCATCATTATCCAAGTTGGAGACCCAGCCGCCCTTAGTTGCCAGGATTTCTATAGCGTCCTCACCGTGCAGTCTTGCCGCCGTGGGCTTCCGCTCTTGCCCATGGCCGTGGAGGAAACCGAGTCTGCGCAGTGCGCTATGGGCTCCCGGGATTGGGCAACTCTTCCTGTCAGACGCGACTGCGAGATGGGCAGATATCAACAAATGCCATTGTTATTGTTATAAGGAGATTGTATCTAAATGCCACCTGCCTAATAGGAATGGCAATCCAATCTAATAATCCTAATAGCAACGGCCTCTAAATGCCACCTGTGGCATTTCTAGTTTGATTTCTCGAATGGCTTCAGATGCTTCAGCATTGACTTGAGAGTTGCCACGTCAGCCTGCAGAGGTGACCATTGACGACGGGCAAGAGCTTAACCTGGACCGATGGATGCGCTTCGAACCTGGAAAGTATGGCCAAGACAAGTTCTACTTGTCGCAACTGGGCGATGGTTTTGTCTCACCTTTTGGGGCTCAGAGAGTTGGAAGGTGGTGCAGGATTTGGATTCGGTCCATCAACAGGTGACTGTGCAGATGACCGAGTTGATCGACAGACTCAGGAAGGTCGATCTATTTTTGTTCTGGTCCGTCGCCGGATGGTCATGTTACGACCTGATTTTGAGTGGTGCAAGACTCCCAAGTTGCCAAGCATGGTTCAGTCTGTGTTGAGATTTAGATGTGAAGGTTTGAGGGTCTCTCTCTCCCTCTCTCTCTGTCTCTCTCCCTCCCTCTCTCTCTCTCTCTCTTAAGGGCATAATTTCGACTTCCATGCAATTCCATGCATGCTAAAGGTTATGTTCTTGGGCCCACAGATTGGGGCTGACTAGCTGCTCCACTGATACAGAAGCTGTTTATGGCCGGCTGCCAGGCAATACATCCGACTTTTCTTGGCCAACCTGAATATCCACAGCCACTTCCCAGTCTACAACTCATTGGACGGATGCCATTTGAGCTGCAGTTGGCTTACAGAGTCCGGCTGGGAGGTCGTCGGGTACCAAGCAATAGCATAAACATAGCTCTTGGATGCCCGGAGCACGAAAAAGCAGGTCCAAAGGATGATGACCACGTTGCCCACATCAATCAGAAGATCAGCAGCTTTGTTGATGTCATATCATAGATTTGAGCGATGTATGCAAGAAGAACTTAACACTTGCCCAATGGGCTTTCATGCACCTAGATTACCATATCTCACTTCAATGACTACTTCAATGTGATCAAACATAATCAAACCAATTGTCAACCTCGCTTGAACGTTCGAGTGACCTTCGACCTCATCAAGACAACCATGTCAAGAGCAGAGGTGTCTTGGAAGGTAACTCTGAATAAGCCTGTGGTGGAAGCAAGCAGCATACACAACATTAGGCCCAAAATGATGCACATAAGAAGAACAATATGAATTCAGGTGAAGACGCATCAGAATATATTATATACCTTTTGGATGGCATCGGGTTCTTTTTGGCAGCTCAGTGAATTCAAACTAGTTGAAGTTGAAGACCAGAAAAAGTGAGAGCAAGTCATGTCTTGGGCCTCCATCAAGCAAGTTGCCCACGACGCCTGACTAGATAGGCCTGACTTTTGGGTGTCGAGGCAAGTTGGCTTCCTTCCAATGTGTGGTGCGCAGAGATGAGTGGAACTCAGTGAGGGATCGCTTCTACAAAGCCTTCTTGCCGCTTGGGCACCTGCAGACCAGCGGTTGGGGTGAACGGGTGGTGAACCAGCGTTTGGAATGGCAGTCTCGTATGCATCCAGATAGCCAACCCAGGAAGATGTGACTCATTTGGCCATCGAAATCATCAGATCCATCCGCTAGACGCCCCAGAGGTCCAGGTCTGAGTCTAGAGGATTCCTTCGCAGACTTCGCGGCTTGACCCTTTTCATTCCCATCCTGCTTCTCTCCTTGGCTGAGCATGCCAACACCAAAAAGGATTTGCGCCAGCCCAACCGAAACTACCCGTTCCTCCTGACCATCCGCACAACTGAGGATGCAGAAGAAGGCTTATCGTCGTGCCAATGGTGGCAGCACCGCCCCTTCGCTCCAAGAGGATGTGAAGCCACGTTTCCTGCAGGTGGAACGTTCCGAGCTACGAGCACAAACCTTGTGGCCTGGATCTGTGTGATGTGTGGCCTGAAACCTGGGAGGATGAACTTGAAACATCGGGATGGAGTGGCGCAATGAGATCTGATAAGACTTGTGTCTCAGTTATGTGGTGTCTCGCAAGTGGATGGAACGAAAGCGCTACTTGCAATGCGGAGAGCACAGTACTCACTATACATTGGAACACACTTGTGCTTGTGATGCACACAATAAGATGCAATAAATATAGTATATTATATATATGGGCAATATTAGTTATATATGTGTATTCATATATTTGTAATATTGGCGCACTATAGTAATTATTGTATAGTATTGTCTATATATATACTACATGCACAGACGCATATTCTAGTAGAGTATGCAATATGAAGTTCTGCTCAAGACCTCATGCCCATTGCCTTTTCCGTTAGGTCTTTCTTGGACCTGGTTCGGTGGGGGGGGTGGAAACCAACTGGTGGGGACTTGCCTGCCCGCTCCATTGCAGCACTCCCTCTTTGCTCTCGCTTTCTCTGTCGGCTTGGACTTGGCCTGTCACTGGGTGCCTTTTTGGTCATTGCTCTGGCTCTTCGCTTTGGGCTCCACTCTTCCATCTTTGGCACCTGTGCCGCACCCTCCACTTCCAGGCCTGCTCCAGGCCCGGCTCTGTGGGCTGATCGAATCTTGGCCTATTTGCATGAGTGATTTGAACTTCTTCGCCTTCAAGTTCAACAGTTGCTCTTGCGTGTGGATATCCTTGAGAGGAAGGTGGCTGAGCTAGAGCGGGGTGAACATCACGGATCACTTGAGGAGTTCGAGTTGGTATCAACAGCCCCTCGGGCAGCCAGTCCGGCTCGAGCAGCCTCAAGCTCGTCTACTTGCAACCTGTTGGCCAACGAGATTCCTGATCTGCCTGCTGAGGCTTTCGTCTTTGTGGCAATCTGCGGGGTGGAAAGCTCTCGCTCCGCCAAAGGGGAGGGAGTGGTTGGGCAGCAGGGCGCATTAACAGAGCGGGGAAGCGCCCCGGCCCATCGGCCGGACATATGACTTCATAGAGCTGTGGGGTGGAGCTGGTGTTGTGACCAACGAACTGAGTAGACTGGGCACGAGATGTGGCCCCGTCTTTGATCTGAGCTAACTATTCCAGGATTCATTGCTTTCGCTCACGATTTTCCTTGCAGCTTCCCCTTTGTATAACCTTCAGCCCTGCGGCACACCCTTCCTTGAGGACTTGCAAGAAGCCCCTTGTGATAGATCCCAAGCACGCAAGAGTTGTCCAACATAACTGCATGGCTTTTTCTTTGAATTTCGTTGCAGTGGGGGGCAGCATTGCCACCGCGGACAAGTGGCACTTGGGGTTTCTTGGACTGGTTTTTCGGCGCCGAGCAAAACCGTTTGCTTTAAAGCTCTAGTTTTGCATTGGACGGAAGGTACGAACCAAACCAAACGGATGTGTGTGGACAAGTGGCTATGTCTTGCGATTCTACTTTGGCGTGATAGGGGCAATGCTGCAGCGCGGCAAAATCGTCAAATGGAAAGCGCAGCCATCGGGTTGCCATTTGCCAGGCAGTCCCCTGGCCAAAGTACCTGTGGGCCATTCCCAACGATGTCATAGTTGTCGGCACTAAAGGCGGGCGGAGGGATTCACAATATTATTCACGGAGTTTGAATTTATAAAGCCGTGTTCCCTCACAACCTGTGAGCCTGTGACCTCTTCAGGAGGCGGTGGCGTATCCATCCTTGCTGGCGGTGACTGTGATGGTGATGAGTTGATGATCGCTTTACACAAAGTGTTAGTTGCCCAGCAGCTTCCCCTTGACATCCCTTGACGAAGCAGCTGAAGAAGCAAATAATGAGGTTTTGGAGGGGGGAGGTTTCGTTGAATAATGCTTTTGCCTGTTTGAAGGTGAGTTCCCACATAAATAGCCACGTGTCACCCGTTTGCATTTTTTAAACTTGTCGCCTCTGACTTGTTTTCCAGGTCAGGCGGGCCAATACGTGGAGAAAGCATCGGCGTTCTTTGCGTGGATCCTACGGCACAGGTTTCCGTGGACGTTTTTCCCCAGATAGCTGCGGCCTATATAGGGGTTTTCACTTCTCAATGGTGTGGCTTTGGGTCCGTTTTGGTTTTGTGGGTGCTGCTGCCATGCTGATGCTGGCGCAGGTGCTGGCTTTGGATCGGCGTTTTGGTTTTGCGGGTGCTGCTGCCGTGCTGGTGCAGGTGCTGGATGTGGATCGGCGTTTTGGTTTTGCGGGCGCTGCTGCCTTGCTGGTGCCGGTGCCGGTGCTGGCTTTGGATCGGCGTTTTCGTTTTGCGGGTGCTGCCGTGCTGGTGTTGGTGCAGGTGCTGGCTTTGGATCGGCGTTTCGTTTTGCCCGCGCTGGTGCTGTGGATCGGCGTTTTTGTTTTGCGGGTGCTGCTGCCGTTCTGGTCCAGGTGTTGGGTCTGGATCGGTGCTTTCGTTTTGCGGGTGCTGCTGCTGTGCTGGTGCAGATGCTGACTCTGGATCAGCGTTTCGTTTCGCCCGTGCTGCTGCTGGATCGGCGTTTCGTTTTGTCCTCCCGTGCTGGTGCTGTGGAGGCGCGTGGTGCGTGGGTGCTGGATTGGCGTTTTGTGTGGGCCTGTTGGTGCAGGTGCTGGCGCTGGCAGGACATGACATCACCCCTGACATGACATGATGCCGTCCCTGGCATGACACCAGATTCATACCGCAAGGCGATACATGCATCAATGTGTCAGGCACCATTCATTGGATATCGTCCCTGCCCTGACATGCCGCCCCTGGCACGGCATGATGTCGTCCCTAGCAAGGTGAACACAGTGCCTTTGGCGCGACTTAAAAAGCTACTATTATTAGACATTGGGTTTTTCCCTCAGGCACTATGAGCTCTTTCCCTATATACGCCCGCGGGGCCTACGGCGTCTACGCCAGTGTAATTCTTCCTTGCTGTCGTGTTTGCTTGACGCAAATTCTTGCGTCAGACCCCATCACTTGTGAAGGTCCTGGCGCACGGTGGCAAGACCTTTCTTTCATTGGGCCAGAACCCACTTGACCTACGACTGCCCCAAACAGCACTTGGCCAAGCCAGTCCTTTGCTGCTCACAAAATCTTGCACCATGAGTTCCGAGCAAGTGACCTTGGGGCAGGGCGCCCGAAGCTTTATGACAACACCTTCCTCCTTTGAATCAGGAGGCGTGTCGTAGGCCATGGGAAGTCATTCAGCCCGACAAAAACTCTTAATTGCGTACCATGCGGGCCTTTGGTCTTCACATTTTTCGCTCCGTCGCTGGCAAGGCACGGCAGCAAGCGGGTCATTCTTGGCGGCGGCGTGCTAAAACGCGCCCTCTCCTTGAATTACCCTTGCTGCCGACGCGCAGATTGAAATCAGCCGGCTGCAACGCAGACGCAATTCGCTCAGCGAATGAGGCTCTGCAGGCGCAGTGGCACAAACTTCGCGACAAGGACGACAAATAAAGACCATCCTTGCCCTCCGGATTGCTTGGGCCGCTAGCCATTGGCGCCTTTTTAAATTTTCTGCTTTCCCCAAACCCTGGAGCTTTTTTTGGGTAGGTATACCAATGCAAAAAATCGCTTTTGTGATTTGCACCGGTGCTGCCTCTTGTTCGGCCTCCAGTGTGACAGGCTTCTTGTCAAGATTACACCTAGCCGCGAATCCAGGAACCTAAAAAGTCAGACAAGCTTGGGCTTCACGATTGACACGTTACGTAGAAATTATTGCTGACCTATGATTGACAACACAACCTATAGTACGAAACTGTGGAATCAACTCCCCGTCCTGAGTAGTAACCCTCCTAAATAGTAAAAAATTGCCAAAAACAAGGTAAACATACGATTGAAAACATACAAATTTAATAGTTTTAATTATGTATAAAATGATTGCTATTGATAACGATTCCTACATAGTATCGGATTTTCTTTTGGTTCTGTTTGATTCCTGTGGAACTCCTTTTGTCTTCTTGTTGTGTCCTATTTATTTCCTTGTGTTTCCTTTTTCATTTCCTTTTGTTTTTAATGATTTCCTTTCGGTTCCTATTGGTTTCCTTTTGATACCTTATGGTTTCCCTTTTCTTTCCTATTGAATTCCTTTTTTGATTCCCTGTTGATTCCTTTGGGTTTCTTTTAGGTTCTCCTTGTGTTTTCCCTGTGAATCCTTTGATTTCCTTTTGATTCCTTTGGATTCCTTTTGATTTCCTTTTGACGCCTTTGGATTTCCTTTTGGTTCCTATTGAAAACCTTTGATTTCCTTTTGGTTCCTATTGATTTCTTATGGTTACTTTTGATTCCCATTGCGTTCCTGTTTGATTCCCCTTCATCTCAATTCCAAGAACTTCTTCCAAATACCAGCTCAGATTCAAGTGGAATTCAATTCTTTTGTGTAATTGAATTAGAAATAATTACCAAATTGCAGCAGCCCTGTCAATGCGGGCTTTGGCGGCAACCGGCCGAAGAGCCTGGGAGGACAGATGGTTGCTGTCAAATATGTGAGTCGATCTAAAACCCCATGTAAGAAGTTTTGTATAAGACAGCATTTCAAATCTTGTCAATACCATCCACGAAAGATTCACGATGAGGTTCGCGAAAGTATATTTTTCTGCAAAAGATTTATCGAAGGTCTTCGCTTTCATATGCTTTCTTTTCTGACTATACCGACCGACAAATGGTAGAAATATACGGCAATCCTCCGGCAGAGGCAGTGCGCGGAAGTGCCCCCCGCATGTCCCCATTGTCACAGACTATAATGCCTCAACATTCCCTTGCCCAGCCCTCGCAGTGAAGGGATTCTCCGATGCGGGCCTGTCCGCGTGTCACAGACTAGCAACCTGAGTAGGCGCAGCCCTGACAGTGCGGCAACGACCTGCAGCTGCTCTGACGGGCTGCGCAGATGTTTGCAAACGTTACGAAATCACCAGTCATTTTTTGCAGACTAGCCCTGTCATTTTTTGCGCTTTCTGCATTAGCCAGTTCATTCCCACAAGGTTCCTCTGTGATTCTCATCGCCTTTCAGGCGCAAAAGCCCTTGGCTGACAACATGGTGGCAATATCAAGGTGACGCCGGCGACGGCCGGTTTTGGAGGCTCCTATAGGAGGTCGAAGCTCCCAGTGGCGGAAGATGAGAGGTTTGGGTGCGCAGTGCACTTGGCATCTCCTCATCCGAAAGAGTTTGTTCTGCTGACAGTTGCGAATGAATGCCGTTCACCAAGCCAAGTGCCACCTACTGCCCAGGCCTTCCTGCCGAGATAGCAAGGGCTTTGCCTGCCATTTGCAGTGCTTAGAGAAGTCCTGCCAGGATGAGCAACGCACACGAGGGCTATAGATATGCTCTCAAATGAGATCCTTGTAGAATCTTGTAGAGCTCTTGCAGGCTGGAAGTGGAAGGGCTCCTCTCACTTCAACATTTTTAAGCTGAGCCTTATTGATTCTCACGTTGCCCTATGTGCTCTGACTCGGGAAGAGCTCCTCCTGTGCGCTCCGCTTCATCCTAAAAAGAGCAAGTGCCCGATCCTTGGCTGGAATCCTGCTGATCATCCAACAAGGGACGCTACAATCCCTGAACCGTTGGCGCAGCTTCACCTAGCTGAGCGAAGAGAAGTTGAGGTGCGATGGATTTCGACTCACCTCTTGGCTTTCCTGGAGATTTCGATTCAAATTTTGGGTTTCCTGGAGAAGATCCATGTCCCCATGGTTGGTTGGTTTTCTTCCATGGTGATGCTGCGAGGCGAAAGATGCGAGAAGGACTGGAACTCTGTGGGCGGCTGTCTTTCAAAGGATGGTTGCGATCAGAAGGGATGTCTCCTGGTGCAGTTTTTCTGGCAAACCCAGCAGATCTGGATGAGATCAAGGCAGTACTCACGAGGTACGGGAGGCACCTTTTTGCAACAGGGCAACATTCTACACTATCACCTCTCTAAGTCCATCAATTTGGTCGGTGTAACGCGCCCCACCCTGAGAAGATCTCTTCAGCAGGCATGGGATTTGTGTGCAATGTGGACATCTTTTGAGCTTGTTGAGCATCACAGGGCCATGCCGGCACAGGTGTTACTGGCGGTCCTTGCGACATGTTTGGTTTGGGGCCCGACTAGGGAAGCAGCCATTTTTTTTGCTATGCGCTGGAGGCCGGTATGCTGCTGTACTTGCGAGTTGTTGAACGCCAAGAGGAAAGAAGTCCTTTTCCTCGTGATGTAAGGTTCTCCATTGATCACGCGCTGCTCAAAATCTTGGAGCCGAAGACGAGGTTCAGAGCAGCGTGTCATCAGTCGAGCAAGCTTGAGCCCCAGACCTGGTACAAGTCTATTGGAGTGGGATTGGCAGGCCACATGAGTCCATTTGGCCAGCTTCACCATCCACTCTGAGGCACAGACATGACAAGGCCCTAGCCAAGTCACGCTTGCCTCCTTCAGGCCGGTCAGGGCAACGTTCGTGATCGGCCTGACAGAATCAGCAGAACTAGTACGACGCAGAGGTCGTTGGATCTCATTGAAGGTCGTGGATATATACCTTCAAGAAGTGGCGGCGAGTAGTTTCATGACTGACATCTCGCCCAAAGCAAGGTCATGAGCTTAACTGCCATGGAGGCCTTTCGACAGATCTTGCAGACAAGCGCCAACTTTAGAGATGCTCGATTACCGGAAAAGGCATGGAATTTGTTGTTCAAGCAGCAGCCTCAAGGTGTCAATTTGATGGAAGATGGGGCAGATGGGGTCAGATAAGGCTTGACCACCTTCACGCTGCAGCTTACACGCGTTCGGAAAAGAGGGGGGCACAAGCTGAGCTTGTCTGGATCAATAGAAAAGTGACCGACCGGATTTACCGCCCAAGACTCGCACCACTGGCCCCTGCACCTCCAGACCGAGCTGCTGCTTGCGCTTGGCATGTTTTTGTTCGGGTGGGATCGGATAAGGCCAAGACGGCCTGACCACCTTCACACTGCAGCTTACACGCTGGCGGAAAAAAGGGGCCCGAACTTTTTCTATATTGTGCGCTTTGCTTTTCGATATTGTGCGTTTTGGTCCACACCGGCGCCAAGGCAGAGGTTGCACCTTCCAGAGGAGCAGCAGGGGAAACACAAAGTGGTAGTGCGAAGACCTTCGCCTCAACGGAGCTTCACTGGCCGGTGCCAGTGGGCGGCACGGGAGCAGAGATGGATTGGATTGAAGACTGAAACAAGCAAGGGCAGTTGGTTTTCGGTGCCTTAAAAGATGGACGTTCAATCGCATGGTTGCATTGCCTGGTTACCTGGTTCCTCCACTCTGTTTCATATGCTATGATCAGCTTGGATGAGATGTGTGGTGGGGAGTCCCGGTTCCCGGTTGTAGTTTCCTTCAATTCCTCGAACGGGGGCAATCGTGGATTCACTACACTGCTATATTTATCTTGTATACATTGGATGGATGAGGTAATTCAAATTTCAATCAAGGTATGTATATATAGTTGCTCGTCAAAAAAATTTGTCTCCGGCGCTTGCTCTTAGAGCATACGTGGGCCCTCTGAGATGGCCCTCTCAGACGATGCAAACAAAACACCAGAAGTCATGTTCAAAAACTCTTTTCCATTACAGTGCGCCTCGCCTTCCAGTGATCCCAGGAACCTTCTTGGACGTCGATGACCCCATCTCCCCCGCCTCCGAAACTGATGGCCCATCTCAGCGTTCCAATCGCCGGCACCGCACCACCAGCATCCTTCATGTCCGCGCCTGTGGCGCCTGAGTAGGTGATGGGGGGAGGCTCTCCCAACTGTTGTGTTCCATGGGCTTAGTTGAGGCTACAGGCATTTTGTCATGTGTGTTTTGAACTTGGGAAGGGCAATGAGTAGGTGTTCAAAAAAGATATGTGCTGAGATGTTCGTTGGGGGGAGGCTGCTGTAGAATGGTGGTTGGTGTGCTTTTGTTTTATTGTTTAGTCCAATAGTTTGATTGTAGTCGATCCAGCCAAAAGTGCCTGTTTATCATTGGGTTTGCCCTTTTGAGCTGCAGAACTAGCCCCAGAACCAATCATGATGGATTCTAATTCTGACATTTCCTTTTCTATCCATTGACCTCCATCACAATTTTCAATCAATCTGCACATATCTGCACCAAACTTACTTACAGGTTGACCCCCTCCCCAAGTTTGGCATCCGCACTCCGACGGGCAAATCCGGTGGTTTTTATACGTCTTGTACAGGGCGCAGTGTGTCACTCCCAGCACCCATGGCCCATCGCCCTCCAATGCTGGCCATGGCGGTTTCGGACTGCAAAGTTGCATGACCGGCCGTGTTGGAGGGGTGCACTTCGTGGGGTTGGCACCAAAAAGCGCCACTCTCAATGGACCAACCAGCGCAATTTTGTGATGTTTTCTGAGAAGATTGGATAGAGCAGGAAATGGTTGAAAGTAAAGCATGGTTTGGGTCCTTCTGTGAATTTTTTGGGGGGGCGCTTGGTCATTGGGTCCGCGCGCGTGAAATCAGCTGAGATGGTCTTTCGATTTAGCCCTGCCTCAGTGGGACTCGCCCCCCTTGGGAGCCACCGTCACAAGCATTGGTCAGACCACGAAAGAGTGAACAAGTGCTATATAAATAGAAAACTAATTGGTTTTGAAACACCATGTGAACAAAACAGATTGAAAGCACACGCGCTAAAGGGAACTACTATGGAGCTTTTGATTGGTGGTTGATTTCCTTTCCGTGCTGTTTCTCCTTTCCTCATTTCCGGCACAGCGTACAAGCGCACGCGCATCCAGTTGTACAGAGCCCTCAATGCTACCGCTTGTACACTGCACAGAGATCACCCAAAGTGCTTCTCACTCACCTCCTTCCGTCGAAGGCCCGGAAAGAAAAAAGAACGCGATTAGGGTCTGGCAGTGACACAGATTGAGGCATATAAAGGCATCGCTACTAGGAGCAAGGACGCTGCTAGGAGCAAAGGGCATCGCTCCTAGTAGCGTTTCCAAGGTCGGGCAGAACATATCATTTCAGACCCTTTGGCAGCTAGCCTCGCAGCCCAAGGCTATTGAGCAAGACCTGGACCCGCAAGGTTTATTGCCATGTCCATTGGCGTATCTTTTCTAACTGTCTACAAGTTAAAAGGAAAATTCAACAATTTTCATTGGGCCTTGGAATGTCACTGGCCCCTGGAGTGGACAAGCGTGTCAATGCTCATGAACCTTCTTGGCCATTGGGGGCCAAGAACTAAGGGCACCCCAACGCCCAACAATTCCAAGGCAAAGTGGACATCCACGGTCGCACATTGCCGGAGGCTACCCCTGCATACAACTCAGCAAAACATAACTCACCAATGTCCCAAGCACTTGGTTATGTCCTAAGGCGGGGGTTCTTGATGGTTATGCCGCCTCAAGCACTTCATCCCAAAGAAGTCGGTTCCGAGGCCAAAATGCGAAGGCTTCTGCTTCAAAGGTGTGGATCAAGGAGTGAGCTGTCGAGGAATGCAGTTGGAGGGTTGGTGGCGGGGAACGCAGGAGCCAAAGTTGATTTGGTGTTGGACATGCGCCTTTTGCAGCTAGCTGCTAGCAGCTGTCGTTCACACCTGTCCCAGTACCCTAGTCCTCAACCAGTCCTAAATCTTTCAAAACAAATTGTTTTATGTATAGTTTTTCCTGGTGCTTTGGTGCTTGGGACCGTTGTGCCTAAGTGGTATGAACAGCGCCTGAAGGCTTGTGGTGACCATCACATGGCCATGTCTAAAGTCCCGCCAATTTGGAATTAGACGGGACGAACAAGAACCGAGGCAATTCCACCAGAAGAATCTCGAACAAACATAGCAAGTCATTTACGGTATATAGCCAGAGCTCATGGGCAATGGGACGACGGTGTTTAGTCGGAGATTAGTTTTCCCATGGCTATTTTCAATGTTTTTTTTTGCACCCAAAAGCGTACATCTAGTGCCAAAGCTTGTGGTAGCATCTGGAGGGTAGAGCCAGATTCAACGATTAGTTGTTGCCTTTGACCTATTTGTTCGGGAGCCAATCTGACAACTCATAAAGGGGGGGCCTATTTGAGGCAACTGGTTGTGCATCTGTGCATCAGCTTTCTGGAAATTGAACTTGGGGAGGAGATAAAATGGACATGTACTTCAAAGACAAGTGGAATTTGTGGCCTGCGCCTCGGTCGTGGAGCGACAACCTCACAATGCCTGAGATAAAGTCAACAAGTGCGGCAGCTCACCAAGGGCGGTTTGGCCCTTGGAATCTGCCCAAACAGAATTCCCGTTTTGTACGACACTTGGAAGCTTCAGAACGTGGGCGACCGGCTTGAGCCGTTGACTCGTCGACTTTCCCACAAACTTGGCGCCGTTGGAGTTTCGGGCTGCCGCTGATTGCAGAAGCTGGAGTTTGTAGTCCAGCCAATTCTCACCTGAAACGTTTTTCATTTGCAAACTCCGGTTCGATGTTTGGCTTTCCACAAGGTAGTTCAGTCGCCCATCGCCCCCCTCGTAGCTTTTCCATGAACCAAGTCAACCAAACTCTGACTTCGATGCCTTCGCACCAAGGTCAGATGGATCGTCCGAGTGGACTGCTTACAGATTTGAAAAGGCAAGGGACATGCACGAGATGCGTCGGCAGAGTTTTTTTTTTTTTTTGCGGGTGCATGTTCAGTGGGATGGTTTGGGATAGTTCAAGCCCACAAAACCTGTTGATTGGATGGTCATTCCACCGGCGGAGTTTATGGTGAAGTTTGTTTTTGTTCTTTTGTTTCATGTCGTGTGCCATGTGCAAATGCCGCGGCCAAATGCAGTGGCGGGACTCTTTGGAACTGTTAGCTCGACGCCACTTTCTGACAAAAGGATAGGGGGCCATAGGCAAGAACAATCAAACACTGGTGGAAAGCCCTTTCAGGCAGAGGTTGCATGATCAGACCTTTCGAGCACGTTCTTTAGCACCAGTTTGGACGGCAAAGATGCTGCATGAACTTCTCACAGACCCAGAGTTTTTTTGATTCCCTTTTGTAGATTGGCGAATGCAATGATCAATGTCAATGTCCCCAAACTCCTTTGTCCTTCTTCTGCACTTTGCAGCCGGAGGAAGCCAGCAGCTGGTTTGCATTAGCAGGGCTATTCAGCATACAACTTGCTTAATCTGAGCAAGTTACACATCTAAGCCACCGCTCCTCGTACTGTAGTATCTTTTTGGGGGTAGCGGGAGGGCAACACCGCCCGTGATTGGGAGATTCCGTCAGGAAAACTCCCAGTGCTGGGGATCAGTGGATCGCTTGAAGCCATTATCCACCCTGTCTTTGCCAGTGCAACAGAGAGAAAAAGACAAACAGACCGAGAGAGAGAGAGAGAGACAGAGAGAGATGCAGTTGAGGACTGGACGAGAACGAGGTCTTGCAGTTCCTTCTTTTGGGCATTGCCACATGGCCGGTTGGAAAGAGTAATTATGAAAGAACAGCCTCAACTAAGTCCCGGTTGTTGTTGCTGCTGCTGCTCTTTCCGTGTTTGCTGCTTCTTTTGGCTGCACCACGATTGGTAGTTTCATTTTCGGTGGTGCGCTTTTCCTGTGTGCCTGCAGCTTCCAGGCTGCAGATCGGCTGCTGTTGGCCCAAAACCACATGTTTTACAATCTTTGCCCTTCTCCGAGCCTTCTCCTTTCCCGTTTTTGCCTGTTTGGTGTAGCCTGGCCATCTCTTTAGGGGCGCCCAAGCCCACAGACACAGCGTGTTGCAAGGAAAAACAACGCGAAGCTTTCTAGTTCTGGATCAATGTTGGCATTTGTGGCTGACTCCTGCAAGCTTTCCGCTTAGATTGGGCTTGTGTGGTCTCAAATTGTTATTGTAGGTGAACATAGAGTAGCGCGCATCAACTTGTCACAGTCCAAGGTGATCCTCATCTCCAATGGCATGTTGGTGCCATTGAACTTATCTCATGACACTCGGCACAGATCAGGGTCTCCCTGAGAGATGTCGCCAAGTGGAAACGGTTTCCTTCAATGCTATAATGCTGTCGAACATGCCAGAACTCGGGGAACATCGCACACCGCTACGGCGCCATTTTGGAGCAGTTATACAGTTCTCATTGCAACGTGGTCCAGATTCAGATAGAATATGATGGAATCAAGGAAAAGCTTCAGCGGGTGGTTTCTTGGGGATCAGGCAGCTTGGAGCCCAAACAGGCGGCCGCGGTGTGGACGGGTCCAAACTCGAAATACCCTGCAAAATGATTGGTGCGCTTGGAAAAATACGCCAAGAGTATTGCAGTTAAACTATGTTTAACTTAAAAGGCCTCCTATCCAACATGCATCAGTGTTTTGCATTGTTTTGCATGATGAGTGCTGAACACCTTTTGGCCATAAGTCTGAACATCGGAAAGACGCGACTACTCCAGACACACCTCCTGACACCACCGTCCTCGCCTAGTTGCCCAACGTACTGGACAATGTCACCATGATCGAGAACTACTATGACAATATGCCACTCAGACTGAGATCGGCTGTTTTTCAGTGCGGGCCACTTGCCAATTGCCAACATCCAGCAGGATATAGCCAATACATGCCAATACTATCCGAAAAAGAACGCCGTATGTTCTATGATAACTCTCTAGGACCCTAGGACATACCCTCGACCTGGAACGTCCTCTCCCCAGACTTTGAGGCCCAACCCCTTCGACCAGGGCAGCCGCCTGGCCAACATGGCGCAAATCTTCGGAAGCCCTGGCCTGGAGCTCAGATCACCATCAGAGCATGTGAAAACACCTGAGGCATGCGGATTTGCAGGC